CCAAAACAAAGATAGTGAAGAAATCCAGAGAGTAGCAGGAAGCTACTACCTTCCATAGGGGCTGGTAGGACATAGGGTGTAGGAGAGGCTACCAGACCCATCAACCAGGACCATATGGCAGGAGATAGAACCACCACTGAAGCATCTCCACAATGATGATACATCTTCCCCTACCACAAAAAAAGTTTGATCTGTTTTCTAAAATGCTCGGGATTCTCACCTTTTCCCTCTTCTCCCTAAACTCAGTCTTTTTTTTTTCAATAACTTCGGGCTGCCAACCACTAGGTAGTACATATTACAACCAAATGGTTAATCATTCAGTTATAGACTTCAAAACCATGCCTTTTATCTCAATCAGATTAAAATCCAAGTCCTCCTATAGCCTATAGCGTCCAATCTGCTGCTCACCTCTCTGATCTCATTTCCCACTACTCTCCTCCTCACTGTATTCCAGCCTCACTGGCCTCCTTGCTGTTCCTGGAATAAATAGCCAAAGTTTCTCCCACCACAGGGACTTTGCATTTACTGTTTCCTTAGCCTAAACACACTTATTCCTGAAATCCACCTCGCTTACTCTCTCACCTACTTAAATGTCTGCTCAGCAAGTCTGTAACTAAACATCCTATCTAAACTAGCACTGTCGCCCCTCATCATTCTTACTCTCTTACCTTTATTTTTCTTTCTGGCACTAATCACTATCTAACACATTATGTATTGACTTGTTTATTGGAGGTCTCTACTGACTAGAATCCAGTTTCTACGACAGCAGGGACCTTGTCTGTTTTGGTCAATGCTGTATCTCCAGAGACTAGTGCAGTGTCTGGCACATAGTAGGTGCTTAATAAATATTTTATTATTAGCCAAAATAACAAATATTTTAAATGTTATCTTCCACAAATGACTAACCATTATAGTGTGCTATTCATGGTAACAACAACAACAAAAACAGTATTTCTAGTTACTCATTTGTAGATGTACCAATTGATAATTCATATTTATTATAAGCTTAGAATAAAGTTTACACTGTGTGAACATGAATTATATAAAACCCATGGTATTTCATACATCCAAATACGATGGGTGTTGGTCAAAGAAGTCAGTTTGCTCAAACTTATTTTGGATTTCCTCTTTTGGCAGGTCCCTCAAAACAGGCTCAGTATATTCAATAGGAGTACTTTTCTCTTTTTTGCTTTTTTGCAGCAGTCAAAAGCCATTCGCAGATATGTATAGTATAAGGTAGATACCATAATTGTTCCAAAATACGTTGTCATTATAAAATAATAATATTATTATCATTTAGTGTGGTCATCATCTGACTTACAAGGAGTTCCCCAAAATGAAAAAACAAAAAACTTTAAATACATTACACATATTCTGTTTTAATTCTTTTCATAAACAATCAGCTAGATGAAGTATGCAACACAGCTGGCTAATACAGTGATATAGAAGCAAAGAGAGCTAGAGAGAGAGTGATCATCTCTTTTTTGGCCCAGTCTTTAACTAAAGCTCTACCTAAGATTACTTGTACTGTAAGTATCAATGTATTATACGATCAAGGCAAATCCATATTATATGGCCCTATTTTCCCACTTTTAATCCTCAAAGTTAACCATATCTTCTGACTGTAGCAAGATTTTCCAATAGACAGTATGGGAATCGATACCCAAGATTCAAGGAGAAGCTGTTATGTGATGCATACAATGAGCCCTTTGTTGAATGTTTATCCAGTGACTGTCAATCCATTAGTTATTGAATGGAACCATGACAAAATTTTTCGATTAATTGCATGAGAATATGATGTACATAATGCTTTTGTAGTATAAAACTCAAACCTCTCTAGAGTAAGCTGCTATTTAGACCACTAAAATAACCAACAGTGTAACATGATCTCAGACATGATTCAATAGTAATGATATTTAATGAAGAAAATAACAAGACATTCTGGACAGTCAGAATGATAATCAAGCCACTAGGCAATCTGTGATCATATATTTGAAATTGGAAAGCATGGCTGATTCTGGAAGAGCAATGAGATATTAATTCAACTCCCTCTACCCCCTCTACCATCATTATTTCAAGGAAAAGTCTGAACTGTGTGTAAGAGGTTTGCAGAGTCTTCTAAATGTAGTGAGTCTTTCACACACTTAGAAGATGCAGCTAGAGGTCTGGTTAAAATAAAAAGCTAGACAACAAATAGAAAACGTTCATGCCTCCTTGTCCTGTGCTATATAGCTGATTCTTTTGCTTCTTAGGCATTCTCCAGCTGGGTGTAGTTGATTAGTCTTGGAAAGATCAGTCATGGGGCAGTTTTAAGTCTGTTCTTTAGACTTGCCCACACATAACGTATTTCAGAGGGAAAAAAAGCCACTGAAAATCATCACTAAGTCAGTTTAGAAAAGTAAACCTCTGATATTCAACTTAAGTATCTCTTTGGTATTTACTATACTACCGCTCTTAATACTGAATTTTAATCAATTCTTTCAGAATAAAAACCAATGATCCTTAATTTCAGGAATATGTTCCCATTTTTCCTTCCATAACTGTAATTCCATTGTTTTAAGACAGCTAAAACTTTTTTTGAACTCAAGTGCCAGAGAGTGGCAGAAATTATTCATGGATTCTCTGCATGAATATTTGACATTGTTTTCCCAAATCACCAAATATTTAAAGTCAACAACCAAGAAGGTCTATTAATTGAAAAGCATATAACTGGAACTGAACTCTTTGAATAGAATGATCTTGTTTCTCTCTCAACGGCACAGTACATAAAAAAGGAGGATAAAATTAAAACTATTAAGTGTTTCTAATAGAGAAGATTATCTCATCATTTATTTTAATGAGCTACTGACAATAGAAAATAACTTTATAAAGAAACTCAATAACAGTAGCTAGTAATAAGCCATCATGAAGTTTCTGCTTACCCTGATGAATTAAATTATACCTTTATTGTGCTTATTTCCCTTCAGATATAGAATTCTATCAATTGCCATTCATTACCAAAATTAATTTTTACTATATTGGGATTCTTACCAGAGAAGAACTGCACTCATTCCTTGTCAAACAGCGCAAAACAATTTTGATTATAGCAACTAGTTCTGGTGTTATCATGAGAATTATTGTTTCCATACTATACCAATGTTTTACTAGCAATGGACTACCATGATCTTTTTTGAATGCTATCAAATGAACAATATCTATTTAAGCCCAATTTTTTTTTTTTTTCGGTGAGGAAGATCAGCCCTGGGCTAACATCTGATGCCAATCCTTCTCTTTTTGCTGAAGAAGATTGGCCCTGGGCTAACATCCGTGCCCAACTTCCTCTACTTTATATGGGATGTTGCCACAGCATGGCTTGACAAGCAGTGCATTGGTGTGCGCCCGGGATCTGAACCTGCGAACCCGGGGCCGCCGAAGCGAAGCGTGTGCACTTAACCGCTGCGCCACCGGGCCGGCCTCTAAGCCCAATTTTTCATGATTCCAAATAGGTCATTACTGCCCAAAGATCTTTTGACTAATTTCATTGTCTGCCCATTAAACCCTATGTTGCATATTTTCTCCGTTTTCTTCAAGTCTCCAATTCCAAGCTGGCTGCCCTTTCTATAGACAAAGAATTTTACACACACTATTATTTTTTAACTATGATATAAGCTCATTCAATTGTCCTTCTTCCTAAAATATCCTTTTCTTATTACACAATATCTTGTCTTTTCCCGATTTTCACAGAAATTAGTTCCCCCTTTCTAATGCTAACTTCTCAACCTGTGCTTGCAAATTCATTCCTTCTCATCTTCAGTCTCCATCCCCACCCCGCCAATGACTTCTCTGCTTTCCAGGACAGACAAGTCTTCCCTTGATTCTAATCCATCTAACTAGCACTTTATTAATACTATTTTCATTATGATGTTCTAAATCCTTCAAAGGTTTCCTAACATTTCTAAGTTATTCTCATATCTTGTCAAGGCATTCAAGATCTTCACCAAGCTGACCCTAAATGGCTTTTCCATACTACTCTCCAGAACAAAATCTTTGATTCTGCTAGGCTGATTGACAGACCCTTCCCAAACACGGTTTAATCATTACCTTCCCTGATTTTTGACAATGCTGTGAATTTCACTTAAATGACCTACTTCTTACTTCATTTGCCTGATTTCCAAGGTTCAGCTCAAACTCTGTCTTTTCTGTGAAGCTTCTCTTATAGCCCTAGACTACACTGAATCTGCCTTTTTCTGATTCCCTATAGTTTTCACAGACCAACTCCTAGCTTAGCACTCAATTAAAAAATATTTTTATTTATATTTGCATTCATGTTTATACCTGCATCCTTTTCTTTGAGTAACCAACCTAAACAACCAGCCAACGAGCTAACATTTACTGAGCACTCACTTGTCAGTCATTCTGTTTGGTCAAGGGAATATAGGAATGAAAAATGTTTCTTTTATTTACTCAGAACTCTTAATATAATGCATTTCTCAGATAATAAAAATGTATTTATTGAATAAATGAGTAAAATATCACCAATCGACCTACTATTAAAAATGACCACTATTTCAAAGATGTTATGGAATTGCTACATATACAGATAATACCACATGGAAGGTCATGCAGGAACTAAAAGATTTGTGTGGTCTCAATCCCAGGTGTTGATTATTTTGAGAATAACACCAACCACTAATTTTAAAATCATGTTTTCTAAAAACCACATTCCGATGTTCCCACTATTGCCGGTACATCTGACAACCAGGCAGAAACCTATGATTTGTAAGTACAGTGAACAATACACTATTAACAATTACTGATATCCAAGGTATTCCAACTCCAAAAATGCACCTTATAAGAAGAAAACATGGATTGTCAAAACTGTACAAGCAAAGAAAGAAAACAAAACAACACTTTGAGAACATTTCTATACATGCTAGTAGTTCTACTACATAAACACATTCAAATTATTGAATGATTCATAATTTCAAAGCATGTATCTTAAAACTTTATGTTCTACATACCTGTCCAGTCTCCTACTATTTTAAGGTGGACCCCAAATGTTGCTTTGGTTTCAGTAGGACACTAAAAAAAATAAATACTAGAATCAATTCTGAATAATAATTATGTAATACCAGACCATGATCTAATTACAACTTTCATTCTCATAGCAAGTCCCCCAAATCAACAGAAAATAGGAAGAAACAAACTAAAAATCTACATAGATCCTCATTAGTGGAAGGAAAAGGCAATGTCAACTGGTCAATAAGCAATACATTTCTCTAAAACCACATAAGTATTTATATAAAACAATAAAATATAGTCTAAAACTGCTAGTATATTGCATCCAACCACAAATCTTGCTTAAATATCTTTTGAATTGAAATATTTAAGAAGACAGTTTTTAACCACAAAGGAAGAAATGGAGACTAATGATTTTAGTGTATTTTTCTCTCCAGATATTATTATACACCTCACATCCTAACAAATTCCAGGGAAAAGAAAAAATAATTCTAAATGTGACCTGAATTTCCATGTCCAATGTGGAAACTTCTCCTTAAAGAGTTCTATTCCATTCCGTCCCTTAATTCTGAGCAGAAATTTGGAGTGAACTGGCAAGGGTAACTGGGGAGGGGAGTGAGTTGTGGTAGTGGAGGTAAGAAAAAGTGGCTGTGGTCCTACGGTTAGGAAATCTAGAAAACACCCACATAGTAAAAATGAGAATAATTTTTAGTTCACAATAAGAAAATGCAGAATCTCCTTTTACTTTCCAGAATCCCAATCTCTTACTCGCAATTCCAAAATTCAAAAGTTCTGAAAAATAATTTTTTTCGTAACTCATTTGGTGGCACTTTCTGACTTGAATTGAGGGAGAGTAATGACGGGAGGCTAATTCTCCCATATAAAAATTCATACAGAAGTATTTTCCTACAGAAATATCAATTTGGTCAAGAACGTTGCATCACATCCTACTAGAGATCTTATGTAGTGTATGGAATATGCACACATTTTAAAATACACAAAATTCTAAATTCTGAAAATACACCTAACCTAAGGGTTATAGGTAAAAGATCATCTGCCTGTGAGTACTAAGTATTCATTGAGTACCATGTGCCAAGAGCAGTGCTAAGTGCTTCATTTCCAAAATGTCTGAAGAGATTGTCTAACCCTGAAGAGTTGTCTTTTATAGTTAAGGAAATTGAGTAATTGAAACTTAAAAATATTAACTTGCCCAAGATCATACAACCAGCAAAGAGACAAGACAGAGTGTGGATCCAGGTCTGTCAGACAACACAGTTCTTAATTATGGCAGATCACTGTCTCCACTAAAGCAAAGATAGCAAATGGGTGGGGGTTACATAAGAAATCAAATGGAGTAGGAGGAAAAAAAGTCTTTGTTGGAGATTAATAGAATCAAGGTATAACAATATGAATTAAGGAGAAACATGGGCTGAAGTTAAAGCACAGATGAAAGAAAATGGCAGAGGTCCTGAGGTCCCTGTGCTAGAGAATGGGTTACATACAGCAAGTCTAGGACCCTCCAGCTCACTGTGTTGACCAACTAATGTAGGTCACATAGGGATGCTATAAGGAGAGGAAATAAAGGAAGATGAAGATACCATGGAGATACGTAAACAACTCCTCATTCAAAGAAGAAAAGTAGCTTGGAAATCAGTGAAAACTAAATAAAAAGGTAGGTATTAGCCATTTGTTCATGACAAATCATAAACGAACTAAAAAGCCCGTGATCTAATATATGTTCAGGGTTGAGAATTAATGTAACATGGAATTTCCAAACTACTATTCTGCAATCAGTGCTTCTAATAGGATGATTACTGCTAACTGTAGTATAAAATATTAAAATAAATCAAAATATTATAAAAGTGATATTACTTAAATGTTATTTATACTATTCAAATGATCTTTCATTTATGATTCTAATATCTAAATATTTCATTTACATTCTGGTTTTTAATAACTCTGAGATCAATCAGTTTTGTCACTAGGAAATCTCCAAATGAGATGATGTGATCTGCCAAAACCACCCACTGTTTTTATCCTGTTTAAAGCTGGCCAGAAGCCTCTGTGCAGTAAAAGTTGTAGCTCGCAGAAAGCGAGAATCCCAATAGAGTCCCAAGCTACGAATCTGACTGCTCACATGTCGCTTGATGTTTCCCTCATTGTGAACTGAATCTTAGGTTCTGAAAAGAAGATCTAAACCAAGAAGATATCAGCATAGGGAGGGAAAAAGCTCATCTTCATGGGACTGAGTGTGCATCTGGCTTGATTTAATCTCATAATGTATTCTGAAGGAAAACATACATTTTTGCCAAATATTCATATCTATTCCATTCTTTCAGGGCAGACATTGTAAAAGATAACTACATGTGGACTTGTAGGAGCCTATAAACCTTCCTCTTCTAAGTGACCAAATGGATCAGTGTAGCTTTTAAAGCTGATCTGGTTTTGAGCAGATAAAACACAATATTGTTTCTCTCAAACTCTTGGGAATGATGCCTTTATAAGGTATCGATTTCCTCAAACTAGCTAGGAATTAAGAAGACAGATTTTAACATAATCTTTCTCCAATCATATTCCCTCAAATTTGAAGGGAGCCTGCACAGCATAACACACAGCATGGCTTCAGCATGTGTAGTTTAAAACAATGACTGAAGACCTTAGAATCACATTTTAGTAACTTTGCACAAATAATGTTCAGATTCACTCATGTTGCTTAAAGCACAGTGTAGTGATTCTTTAATGTTTCCTCACTATCTTTTTAATAGTGTCTTGAAAACTTCTCAATGGGAAGAAATAATCAAGTATTGATAGCTACGGCTATCTTGTTTCTCTTAGAACATTAAAAGAAATACGCTCATGACAATTTTTCAGTTAAAAAAGTTGCAGGATGAATTATGTACTTAAGTTTACATTATTAAAATAAAAACAGATATTAGTGCTTTTTTCTCTATACATGGAAATAAGTTGAAGAGAATATATAAGACATTATTAGGAATATTAACTTCTGGGAAGTAAAATTGAAGACAGAGAAAATGAGAACTCATTTCATACACTTCTATTTTTGTGAATTTATTATTAGCCTTTGTAATAATTTTAAATATTTTAAAAGTTAAACTTAAAATGTAAACAGTAAATCATTGCTGAGTCTTTCTTTAGTCTCCTAGATGAAGAGAATGGAGCCTGGCTCATGCTGACCTTAATATAAAGACCAGAATACACACCACCTAGTTTAAGGATAATACAATAAAGTGACAGAATTTGTAACAACAGATCTAGAGGAATGTGTATTTTGATATTCCGTAGAAAAAATAACTTTTTCCCTCAAATTATTTGTACACTATGATGTTGGGTTTTTAATGTGCTCAAATGACTAACGGTTTTATAACAGTCCTACAAAAAATAAAACAGATATTATGTAATCACCCTACATTTGGGAACTAAATGTAAAAATGATGTCACTGCTCAAGGATTTATTCAACATTGAAAAGAAATTTAAAAGCCACAATGTGTTTATTTTTAAATCAAGAGCCTTGTAATAATAAATAAAAATGATCCTAGAATGGATTTTACTATATTAAATACTAAATTTTCAATGTAACAGATTTGTTAAACCAGAGAAAATGACCACAGAATATGATGTTTTTTAATCACTATTTTCAGGTCTTTATTTTTAACACTTTCTTCCAAAGTTCTAGTTTCACATTTTTTATGCCTGCTAGACATTTCCATCTGAAACTCACTCTAAATATAATATATCTAAAATTGCTATTATCTTACTTCCCGAATTATCTTCTCCTTCTGATTCCCCTACATCTGGACATGGAAACTACATCCTTATCAGAACAGAGGCTCAAATCTCAGAGTAGTATCAGGTATTTCTCTTCCTGCCAGCATTCAATCAATTTTCAAGTCCTTTCAATTATTCTTACCAAAGAAAATGTCTGATCACAGCAATCTCCTATTGATTTGCATTTTGTGTCCCCCTAAGGAAAAACAGCCACATTCTTTCTTTCCTACAGTCTATGTTCAACCACATCTGTCCCAAATTCTTTCCAACTTTTTATTCCATATTCCTCTTTGATTCACCCTAATCCAGCTAAACCAACATGGACAAACTAACACATTTTACTGCCCCTTCATTTCCCCACTTACTAGTCTACTCATTTAGAATGACTTCATTCCCATTTCTCACATTGAACCCTAGCAATTCTTCAAGGCCTATCTCAAATGCCACCACTTTCATGAAAAAATCCTGATTTCCCTGCCATGAAAATTCCTCACTTCCCTGAACCCCCAAATTATTTGACTTTTATGACCTTCATTACAGTCTACTTTTTTAATTTTGTGTAATTTTTTTCTGTATTAATATACTATAAATGTCTTGAGATCAAGAACTATTTCTAAATTATTATTATATATTCCATACATCTTATTCATAGTTGGTATGCATTCTAATATCAGTTTAATTAAATATTGGAGAATTAACCTGAGAAAGAATAAGGACTTCAACAATGGGCAAATCTTCTATAATTCATTCAAACACTCAACAAATATGTATTGAGTGTCCAAAATGTTCCACAGACTGTTCTAAAAGTTCTAAAAGTCAGAGAGGTGATAATAAGCCAGGAGCATAAAATCCATCACAATTATTGCAGCATCGTGACCCTAAACGTTTTGACAAATATAACATTTTAATGTTTACTTGAAGGAAAAAGTTCATGTTTACTTAAATATTTGCAAGAAAACAATATATTCAATATTAAACAGAAAGATCCTGGAAGAGTATGTAAATGAGATTTTTACTAACTTGGATAGGATGTGTACATTTATCTCAACTTCCTCAAAAAAACAAAACATTAAAATGACATTTTAGAGATATAAAAATACAACCACAATAGCAAAGGTAACATGGGAAGTAATAACAACGATGGAGAGGTATCAACAAATTTTGAAAGGTGAAATGTAGATGAGACAGTGGTTTGGGGACTGACTAAAAGAAACATACAAAACTGAAATCCCACTACCTTCAAAAAGCGGGTCACCTTGAGAAGCAAGCCCATCTG